CGAGGGGCTGGCGCCTGCCCTTTGTGTTGGCGCTGCCGGTGCCGCGGATGGGCGAGCGAAGGGCAGGACGGGGCTAGCGAGGCTCGGCAGCTGAACGGGGGTGAGAGGAGCTTCCTCTGGCAGCTCCCCTGGAGCTGAGCTTACCGGGGCCGCCGCTGGTAGGGCTGTGCTGGCTGCTCCGACCGGGAGCCAGGCTCGCCTAATACACTACAAACACTTGATTTGGCTGGGAGCCATGTGTGAGGATAAACTGCGGGCTCGGAGCAGCTCCCCCAGTGAGGCTGAGAGCGCTGGGGCTGCTCAGCCGGGAGAAGAGAAGGCTCAGAGGTGTCTCTTCAAGTGTCTAAACAGAGAGTTCAAGGCGGATGGAGCCAGACGCTCTTCAGTGGTACCCAGAGAGGGTGTGATATCGTGTGAACATCTCGGCTTCTGGAGATATTCAAAACCTGTCTGCCTATCGTCCTGGGCGACCAGCTCTGGGTGGCCTTGCTTGAACAGGGAGGTTGAACCAGACAGACCCCAGAGGTCCCTGCAAGGCTTGGCTGCTTTGTGATTCTCTAATGATCTATGTACACAGCACATACATACAATATGTCTGGTCATAATAATGAAAAAAAAAAAAATCTTCCTCGCGTGTTTTTAATGGATTTTTGTTCTCTTTTCTTGGCTTTACCATGGTGGGTGTAAGTCAGCCTACAAGAAGGATTGAGTCAAGAAATATTATCTTTGTAAAATTAAGCTGATTTTTGGGGGTTTTTTTTAAGATTTTTTTTTTTAAATCACAATGTATTTTTTTTTTAAATATTAAAGTATAGTTTTATAAATTTGTAAAACTTACATATAAATATTTTGCAGACTGCGATGGTCCTTTTCAAGCAACTCAGCTGTGGAATAGTATTATACATGCCCTTCACAATCAAGTGGAAATCAAAAGACGTAGACAGCACCTGAAAACATACAGAAACTGTTTCACTGGCTCCAATGCTGTTGATGTGGTACTGAGCCATCTTATGCAAAGCATGTACCTAAGCTGCAGTGATATTTCTCGGATGAAGGGGGTCCGTGTATGCCAAGCATTGATGGATCACAAAGTGTTTGAGCCAGTTGGAGCTAAGCTTTACTTATTCAAGAATGGGAAAGAAACAGAGTTTGAAGACACAGACACTAGTCTCTATAGATTTGTAAATAGCAGTCTTGATCCTCTTCTTCCAAGAAAGAGTAAGGACAATGAAAGCTTGTCTCCTGAGCAAATCTGCAAACAGAAAACAAAAAGATATTCCAAGTGAGTTACTTTGATCTATTCTAATTTTTCTCTATTTTTTTATAATAAGTTAAGGAGGGTTACCTTTAAATGAAATTATATCTGTCTAAACCAGATGTTGGAGACTTCTGAAAAGTCTTTGCCAGTTTTGAGAAATGTCATGTCTAAACTGTAGATGCTACCAGGTATTTTTGGGTAAAGTGTTTTGATCTGCCCTTTGTTGTTTGGAGTAGAGTCTGCCACAGTAGCATAAGCCTAGGAATTACTCAGTTTTGCTATCAATTGTGCTGAAATCTGAGAATTAGCATGAGTGAGCTAGTTACTGAAAGCTGGTAAATGAAGTGGAACTAGCAAACAGTAGTTGGAATTAATATCCTTGCCCTTTCCACAAAGGAGATGTGGCTGATAGTAGCAGGATAGATTCCAGAGATAATAAAGCCCTGAAGTTCTGATTTAAGATCAATTTAGTAAGTACCAGAAAGACAAATGTGTTCTAATAGTAGTTGCTATACATCTAACTTTTTTTTTCCCTCCCTAAGCAGAACAAAGTGTGACACAACACTTTCAAACCCCTTAGCATTGGAAGCAGCTGATAAAAAGAAGGTTGAGGAGCTTCTTCAATCAATATATGTTCATGCCTCTTTACCTCCAAAGATCATGGTTGATGAACCAACTCGCCCGCTTTCAAAAGGAGGTGAGGATGAAATTTTTTCTTTTTAAAACTTGATTGTTCTTTACTGTATCTTAGTGTGAGTGCCCCATTTCTGTTAAACAATGCTCCATGGAGACATAATTTAACCTGCCAGTAATGACAAAATATCTGAACAAGTGTTAAAGGGGTAAATGCTTGTAGTAACTAAACAGAAGGAAAGACAACAGGGTTATGTTTTTGCATAGTGGTGCTATTTATGAAAATACTACTAAAGAAGGAAGCAGGTCTTATGATTAATATTATCTTTATTATGTGATTCCTTTGCTTTTCAGTTGATTTTTTTTCTTCTACTAATTAGTTTATTCTGAATCCTAATATGATGGGAGAGGCCCCTTTTATTTAGCATTCCTATTTTGATGCCTTCTTACCCAACACAGCAGCTTCACACTATGCTATTACTGTATTTTCTTTGAACACTTAAAAAAACTCTTGACTGAGAAAAAAACAAAGGTTAGTTGTTTACATAAGATCTTGTTTCTGAGAGGTGTTTGTTTGTTTATGATATCAGTAATAGAAGATGTCTGGAAACAACAAACTCTGCTACGACTGCTGCAGTTAATTGATGTTCCCGTTCTAGAAGATATCTTGGTGTCTTCAGTGAATCAAATCAAATCAGACAGTTTTGGCAAAGAAGACGACATGATTATCTCAAATACTTTCCTCGACAGAGAGATTATGTGTAGTTTAAACTTGCCTGAGTAAGTTATGTATCAATGGGATGGATTTGTTAGTAAAGGCTTTATTTTACTCTTGATCAAATATTTATGTTTAGAGAACAAATAGACATCATTATGCTTGTGTACTTGTAGACAGGGGTGGCATTAGTGTGATTAAGTTCTTTTCAGGAGTGGTAAGTGATTTCACAAAAAGTGTATGTTTTGAGTTGGACGTTCGGACATTTTAAATAAACATTAAAACTTTAACCTTTAGTGTTGTAAACACTCCTAGTTTCTAGGCCAGATTCTTTACTCTTAGGTCTCTGTAACAGACATTAGAACTAGAAGAATTTTATTCTGAGGCTTTTTGTTTGTTTGTCACAGTTCCTGGTGGCCATGGTGTGAAGATACAAAATCAATAAGGCATCTATTGTTAGCAAGAGAAAAGGAGAAACTCAGCTGTAGCACTGAAGAATGCTTATATAATGAGAATATAAAAGTGGCTGCATGTTGACAAGTGCTCTTTTCCTTAAATCTCTTCCTATTGTAGTGCTCCTGGTTAGTGTACTTAGGCTCATCTCTATCTTACTTCTAATAATATACTTCTAATAAATGTGTCAAGGCTCATGTGAATGTCTTAGACATGACTATTTTTGTCAAATTAATACAGTTTTTTTATCTGCAACTTCATATTCTTTGTTTCTGTTCTCCATGATAAAAATGAGATTCTGTGGATCTTAAATAACATTTGCAACTTGTGATTGGTTCGGATCAAATTACTTTACATCCAGAATCAGATAAAAGTAATGTCCCTCTGCCCCACACATTTCTATGATTTTATATTCCTTCTGTACAAAATGGTTGAGACTTTTGCCTCTGATTTCTGGCTTCTTTCAACAATAAATTATGCACCTGAATTTTAGGTGTGTAATTAAGTTATATTTTCTTTCCTTAGTTAAGACAGAGACAAAAAATGCTTGTGAAAGCTCATGTCTTTGTAGTAGGTTATATAACAAACTGCTTCTGCAGTGTTCTGTGATTTAACCTACTTTTCCTTTTTTTTTCAAAGTGATTTTTTTCTCTTCTGTAAGGATCAGGTTTTCTCACCCTGGTTAGCCCTGGTGGGTTCTCAATGTGTGTGTTGGAGTAATGGTGGGGGGTGTTTGGTTTTTAAGTACTAACTGAATTCCTGGGGTCAGTGACAGTCTGGCATGATTGCAGCTTGTTTTGATTTGGGTGTATCTCAGGTGTATTGCCTTTAGCACAGGAAAAACATAGAAGTTACTCATTCTGAGAAGGTTCTGGAATGGCTGTAGTGAAATAAGTTAGACAAACTGCTTAATAAACCACTTTGGCATTGTGGTTCATATATGGGACTATACCTGCATGATTATCTCTATCTATTTTAAAGGATTAAATGGACCCTGAGATAGCTCAATTGCTTAAAGCATGGTTCTAGTTACACCAAGATTTAGTCCCATTTACTTGAGTTGGATGCAGTGATCCTTGTGTGTCCCTTCTGACTCAGAATATTCTATGAATCTGTGAAAATAGAAGTAGGTAGAGCATTTTAAAGCAAGCATTTAAACTGCCTTTTCCTTTTACAGGCTTGACAGGTGGCTCTTTGCTGCAATTGAATGCTTGGAGTATTTTCCTGACCAATTCCTAGTGATGGTTAGTCAGCAGTTATCTCAAAGCACTAACAACCCCAGCAGTCTGAATACATACAAGAAGATTATTTTTGATGTCATAATTAAGTATTACAGTCAAAAAAAGGACTCTCTTCTTGCCACTCAGGATTTTGATATTCATTCAGGAATTATAGAACTTATAGGTAAGAGCAACCTGGAACAAAAAATACGGATGAAAGCTGTGTAGAGGATGTCACTAAGCGTCAGTTGACTGATTCATGACACCATTTGCAATGCCATTGCAGATGCACTTTTTAGATTGGAAGGAAATGCTCAAGATCACTATTAAGAACCTCTACTCAAGACAAGAACAAATTTCAATGTTAGAGCAATTTGCTTAGGGCCTGGTCCAACTGAATTTTGAAAATCTGGAAGGATAGAGATTCACCAACCTCTGTGGGTAACTCTTCCGACGTGTAACTACTTTCATTGTGAAAGTTACTTACCCCAAGTCAGAATTTGCCTTATTGCTACTACTAAGTAATAACATAAAACTAAAATAATTGCTATAAAGTTTTTCATGTTAACCAGAATAAGGTTTTTAAAGTTATGGACATAGGATCCTTTTTAGTAATAGAAGTTATTTAAAATTATAAAAGGGACTATTAAGAACTCACCCATCACATGCATATGAGTAAGCCAGAATGGTTTCATTTAAATACAAGTTTAAGATTAATCCTACCTAAATAGGTTTTGTTGCTGCTGCTTCAGTCCTATTGGGTTATGCCTTAACCCCAGCTGCCAACTAAATACTTCAGAGCTGCTCACTCACTGCCTGCTGCCACTCTGTCCCTGGGAGGGAGGAAGAATTAAAACTTGGGGGTTGAAAAATGAATCCTTTAAACACTGGAACAACATGAAATTTTGTTTGGAAGGAAACCCCCCCAAAAGTTGGGGTTATTATTGGGATTTAAATAAGTATTTATGGCTCTGAAAATGAATAGTAACATTGTATATGTTGTTTTACTCCATGGCAGAAAAAGGAAAAACAGATCAAGCTCTAGAGGCATTACAACTTTATCTTAAATTATTAGCACCGAATATTAGTGAAGAACTTCACAGACTCCTCACATTCCTAGCCATTGCATCAGAATCTGAGGGCTACAGATTGCAAAAACAAGTAAGAATCTGTTCTGCTTATTGTGAAAAATAGCATTTTCTCATAGTAAAGCTAACATTTTTGTTCAGTTGGAAGTATTCTGTTTACTGCCTTACTGTGTGGTCAGTTTCCCACTGATAACATCCCATTATACATAGTCTTTGCTAGCACACTGCAAGTCAGTCTAATGCCAAATCTGGGTACTACTTTTTCTAGTTTGAGAACAGATTTGTGATCATCAAGACTTGTACAAAGTTCATCTTACAAAACAGGACACTGTCAAAACCACAGGCAGAACTGCTGACTCAGTTTCTGGTGGACAATCACTCCGAGCTCTTTAAGGTATCATTCTCCTTTCATCATTGACTTCGTCATTTTAAGTGTTAAATGCCATGAATTGCCTTTTTTGGAGTATGATAAGTTTGAGGAACTGTGTTTAATGTTCCATTTGTTACAGTTTAATAGTACCGCCAAACAGGGTGGGAAACTATTCCAGACTATGGAGGACAGATTTTTGAGAGCTTTGCAAACCTTTATAAATTATATCTTCTCTTTATTTGCATGATTTATATTAGGGAAATATTTTAAATATTAATAATTTTTATAGGGTCATTTTGGCACCTTGTTGGTAATGAATGTCTGCTAAAAATTTAGGTATCTTAGTGTCTTTCTCCTTTAGAAGTTCACTGGCAAACTCTGAGTGGTAGAAAAATGGCATGCTCTTGTACCCCAGAGTATGTGTATAGCATTGACAACTCTAAAAGATTCTTCAGTGTTTTGGAATGTAAACTTCTAAATTGAAGAAAAAAAATAGAACCACGAAATGCTAGTAGCCTTTCTATTAAACCTGATGAGCTGTGTAAACATGCAGGCTTTTTATAATCTCCTTAATTTATATTCCATTATATTGTCACACGTGAAAAGATGAAACTTTACCATACGCTATAAAAATAAGGTTCACAGAAATTTGGTTTCAGTAAAATACTGGTTTTTATTTTTATACAACACATCAATATCCACTTCTGATTTCAGGTCAAGACATGAGAGATTTTTTTGAGTTTTTTTTAATTAGTTCCAGTTTAGTTTGACAGGATTAATTGGTTAGTTTGGGGTTTGTATTTGTTAGTACACAGCCAACCCCCCTCTTAAAATTTGTATTAAGGGTTCTGACATGAGGGCTGGGGCTTTGATTCCCTACTGGAGTTAGGGCCAGAACTGCGTAGCAGTGACAGCAAGTGGACAGAGGTTCACTCTGACAGCTGCAATTGAGAACCTTGTGCAAAAGCTGAAATTAGCTTTACACTGCAGTTTTTGCCATAGAAAACAAGATCTAGAACTTTTTGCTTCCTATTTCTTTAGCCAGAAATACAAGAAATAAACACGTGTATCTTAGTAAAACTGTGTTTTAGTGCAATTCTGTGAGAGAGTTTGAAGGTGTACCTAAATAAATGTGGGCATAGATTCTTCTGCATTTAACTATGTTTTTTTAAATTGGTCTGAAAGCTTTAGATTATCAAAATACAGGAGTATTGCTTTTGTAATGTTTTCTTTGTTGGGTTGTATTTTCAGGCTCCTTTAACTCTTCTGGAACTAACGAGTAGGAGACTTCAGAGTTTGCTAGAAGGGCAAGATCCAGATATCAATTCAGGTAGATGATAGGATAAATTTTTATATAAGTTATTGTATACAAACTGGTTTATCATCAGTTGACTGTAATTGTGCATAGACTGTTGTTTTCCTTTGTTAGAAGTGAAGCATTAGGGGGATTAGTGGCTAATGCACTAAATACTAAATTATATGCTATCTGCAAAACCAGTCTGAATATTGGAGAACAAGGATTGTATTAATAATCTGGTTTGGACACATTACATTTTTTTTTTTTTTACCAAATAATTACTTCTGGAAATAGTAGTGCAAAATGTGTTTCCTGAAGTGATTTGCTTCTAATTTTGCTTGTGAATATGATGGGACTTTGTATTTAGGAACAGTATTCTTCTATTTTTGCCACCTACAAATTCTCACAGAACTCAGTAGTTCAAGGTTCTGATGGATGACTTGAGCACAGACTTTGATTGTTTAGTGTTTTGACTGTTAAGTGTTTTGAAGAACTCTCTCTTTTTTCTGGGTAAGCATAAAGTTTATTAAGATCTTAGGACTTAAGCATCCAAGTGTCAAATGCCTTCCTTTTGGGCTACACTACCCTTCTGTATGTGGAGTTAATGCTTTTCAGCTTATTTCTTTTGAGCTAATGTTCCATCTGGCCTTGCTGCCAAAAATATCCTGCAACACTGATTAAAAGGGTTGGCTTAAATAATTTAATTTCTCTCTAACTCTGTCTTCTTAGATTCCTGTATTGCCAGTGCATTGTGTGCTTAAACACCAAAAAGAAATCACTCAGGAACCAAATTACACTAAATTATTTTGCTGTGTAATATTATATTTAATACAGCAGCTGCTGGAAAAGTAGCTTGGTACAGAATCTTTTACTGTCTGTGTTGGGTTCTGGAATGAGCCCAAATTCCTTCTGGTTTAGTGTTCTGAGAATCACATATTGTGAATCCAATGAATAGAGATGAGCAACAGTGGAAAAAGCTGCCTGTGTGTAATATTCTCAGAGCCTATGTGATCTCTATTGACACACTGAACAGACAACTGAAGTACAAACCCTGTACTACATTTTTCCTACTAAGTTTTGGGGTTCCAATCAGTAAATGCATACAGGTTCCATCTACTTGTTGAAATAGTTTGATGTGATTGTAAGCTCTCTGGCATGGCATATTCCTATTTTCCTGTGTGCCTTATATTCTGGTGTCATTTTCCCTTTTCTTTCCAAAATCTTTCCTAGGAGCTATTGAGCATTCTTAGCTGGTGAACTTCTTAAATGTGGGTGGGAGCAGGAGGGAAGGCTGGGAGACCCAGATAAGAAAAGGGGTCAGTCAATTGCAGGAAGGTAATCCTTAGGTCTGTTGGAAATCAAAAAGATTAAAGCCAGCAAGAGAACTCTGGGGTTAGCTTTAATCTAGTAAGACACTTGAAACCACAGAACTTAAGATTCATGCTGAAGTTTTAAGAGTTAATCTCTGCCAGTTGTTAAGATTTCCCTTTTGAAAGAGCTGTCTTTTTTCTTCATCTGATTTTACTAAACCATAAAAAGTATTGATGTTTGACAAACATACTGTAGAAGAAGGGAAGGACAGGTCCATGTGACAAATCTGCCAGCTCAGGTTAACACTATTCTCTATATGAAGCCTAAAGATGATGGTGTTTATAAAGACAGATTAGTAAGAATTTTTTCCCCTTTAGACAACTGACACTTCTTCAACTAAATTGCTCTCTAATAAGTATAGGAAGAAAAAGTGTCTGTGGAGTAGCTGAATGCCAGTCTTTCTTCAGGCCAGAACTCACCTGCCCAGTGAGGAGGCTTGAGTCCATGCAGGGCAGTATTTACTGCAGAGATTCACAACCTTTTTATAGCTAAGTTGTGCTGAGTTAAGGGTCTGTCTTGTATCACCTCTACTTCTGGTGCCCAAATCATGCTCAGCTGTCACGTAGAAGCTCCTAATTTCTGTGACTGATTTTTGTAGTGTGGTTTAGAGGCAGCTATTTCTCCAAAAGTATTTATTCACTTGCATTAGGTACTAAGCCTTGCTACAGATCTGATTTACTCACAGGGAATCTTTAGATCCTGAGAAATGCAAGGTGTCATTCTTATTGTGTAGTGCTCTTTATTGTGGTTTCTCTGTGAGAACTGTATTTGCTTTGTCTTGCAGGCCTGTTTACAATACAGAATCTTCTATCATACTATACTTGTAACACTGCTTTTCAACTTTATTTTTGCAATTAATGTTTAGATTTCCATCCATTATGGAGAGTTGTATGTTTCACATTGCTTATAGATGTAATCACATCTGAACTGGAATATCAGTGTATCTGTGTTTCTTATATTTTTTAACGAGGCTTTTACATGATGCATGAAACTTAATTTGAACCTCTGATTTCTTACAAAGGCTTCACCTTCTGTCAACGCATTACAACTAAAGAATATGAAGATCAAAAGCAACAAACCAATCAGTATCTTCTAGCACTGATTCAAGAGATGGATAATGACCCTACTGTTCCTTTGAAGCAAAAGAAGAAATTAATCAAAGAATTCCGAAAATATCATTCTTTTGTCTACTGTAGTGGCTGTAAAACTACATGTGAATATTGTACTCCAAATGGTTAGACTTCAATACAGCCTTTTCTTAATCTTTTTTTAAAAGAATGGAGGAGACACATGAAAATTGCTCAAAAAAAATGTTCTTCTCTTACATCTTTCCATCTTCAGCTTCAGGAAGCTACAACTATAAAAATTACTATGCTACTAAAAAACATTAGCTCTAATTAATCTTTTAAGCAAAATCTACTTAATTATTTGTAAGTAAGTAATACCAGCACACTGCTTGGGCTTCCTTAAGTTCAAGGTTTGGCACTTTTTTCCATCTGTCCCACAACCCCATGGCTTTCTATCTGAGCCACATCCATATTCTGAGCTGTGCTTGGGTTGATAAATCAGTAGTTTTTTTACTCTTTTCTGTCTTTAATAATTTCATCGCATCTTAAACTGTGGGTTATGACCCCTGTGGGTATTGTAAAAGTGTACAAAGTGTGTAAAAAATGTTGGAAGTAGGTCAGTGGGTTTTGAATCTACAGCAGGAATGATGTATTAGGCAGGGGAGCTGTGTGTGCTTGCAGTCAGTAATTACCTGTCGTTACTGCCTCCCTACTCTGGCAGACTGAGCTGCTGCTAATTCAAGTAAAAGGTTACGTCTTGAAGAAACCTGAGATACAATTACCTTGTTTTAGATCTTAGTATACTTAAGTAATTTATTTTAATATGAGGATATTTTGATAATGTTGTTATTTATCATAAATACTTTGGTAATGTTTATGAACTCATAGGGCAAAGCTAGAAAGTATATTGGCCTGTCTTGACACATTGATGGTTAACTCTAAATCAACAAAGAAGTGTTTATTCAAATCATTAAATCATGGAATCATAGAATGGTTTGGGTTGGAATGAATCTTAAAGATCATCTAGTACCACACCCCCTGCAATGGGCAGGGAAACCTTTTACTAGACCAGGTTGCTCACACCCCATCCAACCTGACCTTGTACACTTCCAGGGATGGGAGGCATCCACAACTCCTCTGAGCAACATGTTCCATTGCCTCACCATCTTCACAGGGAATAATGTTTTTCCTAATATTGAATCTAAACCTGTTCTCTTTCAGGTTGAAGCTATTCTCCCTTGTCTTGTCACTACAGTATGCCCTTGTGAAAAGTCCCTCTCCAGGTCTCTTTGTAGGCTCCCTTAAGGTACAGGAAGGCAACACTTAGGTCACCCCAAAGCCTTCTCTTTCTTAGGCCGAACAATCCCAATTGTGTCAGCCTCTTTTTATAATAAATAGTGATAGGGCTTATATTACTTCATCCTTGCAACAGACCTTTAGTCATGTATTGGACAAAGCCTCAAAGACTTGGTATTGGAAGGGACCTCTGGTCTAGTCTCACCACTCAGGTTGGAGTTGATTAGTGCAGACTGCTCAAGGACTTTCCCAGTTGAGTTCCCACAGATATGCCACAGCCTATGGGATGAGTCTGGTCCAGACCAGTCTCACAGTATTTAAAAACAGGCAAACAAACCCTACCTTCACACAAAAAAGAAAAAAATCCCAAAACAATCAAGATAAACTGCCTTATGCTTAGGCAGAATTTCTTGTCCTTTCACTGGCACTGCTGAAGTGTCTGGCTCAGTCTTCTTCACTCCCTCCCATGAGCATTCTCATCAAAGCACTCTCAGCCTCTTCCCTGTGTGACAGATCCTGTACTTCCTTACCATTTTCTGGACTAGCTCCACTATAAGCATGAATCTTTTTTAGGTTTTGTTTTGTTTTGTTTTTTTGTGAATGTGCTGCTTTAGGTATCTCCATCCTCCTGTAGGCTTCAAACATAGTCAAGTCAGCAGGATACCAAAGCTTTCTTAAAACAAGTGCAGATTTGTTTTGAAATTGAAATAGTTATACTGTAAGACATAAGTAAGAAGCACAACTTCTTACCTGTACACTTAGTTAACTTGCATATTTGAAGTAGCCTTATTTAAATTACCTGCCCTATTAAAAATCAGGGAATTTAGTTGAAATCTCTGTCCATGAATCCCTGTTTATGCACTTGCTATTTAACTGTGACTCACCAGTGTGAAATAAATAATTTCTAGAGGAGGAAAAACATCCAAGTTTCCCCTTTCAGAGGTGAATGCCCTAAATCCTATAGTACAGGGCCATATATTCTTTTCCTAGCCCTATGTGGGGTTTTGGTCATTCTCACAGAAGAGGGAGCATATGCAGAAGCAGGTTATTGAGACTAGTAAACAGGGAAGTATTTCCTAAATGCTTCTGATGTTGAGTAGAAGAAAAATATTTTAGTTCGTTTTTTTTCCTAATCTCTCTCTCTGTCTGCAGTCCCTTTACTGTGTATTACTCAAAATACTAAACCTAGTAACAGGGAGGGATGATAATGTGGTGATTTGTAGGCTTGGTGGGTTGGGAATTGCTTTGGGAAAAACTACTGTTAAAAAACAAATTTGCACTTTGGAATTTGATTTAGAATTTTCTTGTGCTAATTTATATATAATAAAGAATTGTATAAAAAGTAGTGAGTCTTTATTTTAAAGTGTGTTCATAAGGAAGAGGCAGTTCAGAGGGTGTAGAACCAGTTATTAAAGAGTAAGGAAGTGTTCCAAGCAGCAGTTTATAGCTGCCCTGTGGTTCCTTTCAGTTCATGGGACAGGAAGCTAAGATTGATCTAGTTCTGCAAAAGAAAGGAAGAGCTTTTTAGAGCCCCGTTTTATTCACATACCCTGACAAGAGGATCTACTCACCTTTAATCTTTAAGCCTGTTATTTTATATCTAAGGGCCCACTGAACAGGTTTGGTGAATTATAGGCTAATGGTTTTCAGTTAAATTACAAAACTATAAAAATGTTACTGGACTTTAGAAAGTTCGTATTTTTCACATATTTTTAATGATATTTGACACAGAATCATGTATCAGAATCTTGGGACCTGTCATTCATTTCTGTTTATTATTTCTAGCAAAGAGCTGTCAAATTAATTGCCAGTATGTATTTGTTTGAAGTAGAGAATATTCAGAGTGAAGAGTTTAGTCGAGGTACTCTTCAGTACGGTCTTACCAAAGCACAAGTGATGCCACCTTCAAAGGAGGCTTGCTTCTATTCATAGAGCATTCATCTTTGCTCCTACCAAGGAAAAACTTCATTAGTGCTTTCATGAGAATGTGTATGTTCCTTTAAGTCCCAGCTGAAGTATGCTGATACTTTCATGAAGCAAGTTAGTTAAAAAACTAGAGCTTGGACACAAGGGCTTCTCCATTGGCTGTCAAAGTGACTGTACCAGATTTATGTCCTACACAAAGTCATACAATCTGTCCAGCAATTTCTTGTCTCGTGCCTCCATACCCTAGCTGCCTCCTGTGTGGCTCATGTAGCTGCTAACAGGAGGAAGGTGCCCCCTTTCATTCCTTTCAGCAGGTTAGACTTGAGGAAAGCAATCACAAGCTGGCAGTCCAAAGTAAAGAAGATCATATTCAAGAAGAAAGATTATCTCCACTCTCTGAGGCACTGGCTGCTCTCTGATGTTGCCCTTATGCAAGGTAAGCAGGTAAGGTTACAAATGCTCTCTGGTTTTATATTGGGGCAGATGAGAGAGGGAATATGAGACACTACAGGATACTCCAATGCCCATTATCCACCCTGTCTGAGTGCCTGTCTGTCTTGGCAAGTAAGCAAGCCAGGTGGGGCACCCCATCTAGGCTGGCCCTCCCAGCCTTCTAGCTGGCTCTTAGCCCAGGCTCTTCCCCCTCCTGCACGCCATGCTGCACAGACTGATGGCAAAGTAACACAGCTTCTGGTGCCAGAAATAACAAGTACTGGGGTAGCTGTGTTTATCCAGGATGCATGGAGAGGACAGAGATGGGTCATCAGCCAGGATACAGCTGCAAGCTTTGTTCACCTTTGTGGCACCTTCTTTTCAGAAAGATGAGGGGAGTGGCACGAAGCTTATTTGCTCAGGCATTGTTTGAAACAAAAAACGAAAAACCCGTATAACCTACTAAATTAAAAACCCTTTAGAAAAAGGAATTGTTCAAATTACTCTTTTGTCAAAGCCTAAGCATACTGTCAATAGCAGTGGTCACATTTCAAGTCAATTTCTCTCCCAGCTACTCACTAAAATAACCAAAAATAAAACTCATTTATTTCTTTTCAGGAGAGGCAACATCAAAGGCTCCTTTTGAGATGTGTTTAATGCCCTTTTAGTGGAATATGTGAGTTAGAATAATACTCATTTTGGAAAAAAAAGAAATCCATTTCTTCTTACTATGTATTAGCATCACACCAGTATAAGCATTTTATATTTTTATTGCCTCATGCACTGAGGTGTTCTGCAATAAAAATACAATGAAGCTATCAGAAAAGATACAAACATAATGAAATTGCAATGAACATATTATTTCACAGTATTACACTTGTAAAACTCTGTTTCTAAACTCTTAAAATTACTTTCTCTCAACCCAATTCAGTACAGGAAAGCTAAAACACAATCCTAGCTGATGGAAAAGAGGTTGTAGTTCAAGGAATTCCATTCTAAGTAAACCAATGGAATAACAACATATCCAGCTATGCTACCTATATATCAAATTTCTCTTCACAGATATTGTGTCCATGTTCTTCATAGTCTTCTCTAGTTACTATCATGTCTTCAAAATCATCATTTTCAGAAATGAGCTTCCCACCTTCCCAAGAATAAGTAATAGGGCTGGAAAATGAACAAAATTATTGTTATTCCTCTATAGTCATTTAAAATAGAAATATGCAGTGACGATTTCCAAGACTTTTATTTAGCTGCACCTATTTAAACTACATTTTTGATTGCTAAATCAAACCATCCAGCTCCACAGAAGTTATGAGACAAAGTTTGAAACTTTAGCAGGACTAGCTGACTTGGTTTTTAAAACAGGGCCTCTTTGAAGACATGTGTGAAGACAGAATGACATGCCTATGTCTTTGTATTTACTTTCCAAAGACAATAATTCTTCATTAGTATTTAAAAATACTCTTTAGCAATACTTTTTAAAATGTAGATTTTTTTTTTTGTATATTCAAAATATACTTGTTTTGTCTCCACTCCTGCAAAGATGTTTCCCCTTCCTAATCCCTGAAGTGGTACATTAATAATGACATGGCAGCATTCAGATGCTGAAAATTCTAAGTAAAAGACTAAGTTGTAATCTTACATACTTACATACCCACCTAATGACAATACAGTCTTATTTATCTATATACAAAGCAAAAAAGCTGACCCTAAAAACACTAACTTTATTAGCAGAGCAAGCAGGTGATCTCTGGTTTATTTGGCTTGTCTGAAAATACACTGATTTAAAACATCCTTCTTGCACAATTTCACTTAATATTTAAATTAATTCCTTTACTCAATCTACCTTCTTAATCAGCAAAAGAAACCCTACTTTATTGATTGTTCTGCTAGAAAGATAAAGCCCCTTCTATTTAGTAGTTTAGGACTTACTTTTCAGGAAGAACAACGGAAACATCGTAGTCAGTTGGAGTAAGACATCGAACTTCAGAATAAACCCGATCTCTGAAGCCTGGAAATAGGGTGTTTCCCCCAGTCAGAACTATGTTCTTGAAGAAATGAGGCTGCATTTCTGTAAAATAATTAAGTAAATCTGTAGTTAAGAGACATAACATATATCTAAAGATTAAAGGTGGTGGTTTTTCCAATTTTGTAATGCATTTGAACAGAAAAAATATGCATATAAAAAATTTATGATCATCTGATCAGCACATCAGTTAAATAGAAATATGAGAAGGTGATCAAGCACCCTGTGGTCTCCCTGATTTCAGAATTTGGCTTTGATAACTACTGTTTTCTTATATTTATAAATTTCACATTTGCCAACAAA